CAGAGGGCTCCAGCCAACAGCCATGTGAATGAGCTATCCTGGAAGCAATTCCTTCCGCTCTAGTCAAGCCTTTAGAGAACTGACATATAGGCTAACATCTTCATTACAAGATCATGAGAAACACTGATCCAGAACCATCCATCTAAGTAGTTTTCAAACTCCTGATCCATAAGCAAAGGTGAGATAATAAATGTTTGTTGTTCTAAGCCACGAAGATTTGGAATAGTAGTTATGCAACAAAAGATAACTAATATAGGGAACATCATTACAGATCCTAAATACATTCATTAAAAGGATAAGGGAATATTATGAAGTAACATTTAAGCCAATAAATTCAAAAATCTAGATGAACAAATTCCTTGAAGGAAACAAACTGCCAAGCTCACTCAAAAGAAAAGGAATTGAGAAACCAAACTGAGAAAATATCTTCTTTAAATCACAGGGATCATTCTCTCTCTCTCTCTCTCTCTCTCTCACTGACACACAAAAAATCAATCATTTTCACAGACTATAATTTTTAGAAACAGTATTATCTAATCACAAAACTAGAAATAACAAAATTAATAACCAAAAAAATACTTTCATGGGGTGCCTGGGTGGCTCAGATGGTTAAGCGTCTGCCTTCGGCTCAGGTCATGAACTCCAGGTTCTGGGATCCAGCCCTATGTCAGGCTCCCAGCTGAGCGGGGAATCTGGTTCTCCTTCTCCCTCTCCCTCTCCCTCCCTCTGCCTCTGCCTCTGCCTCTCCCCCTGCTTGTGCTCTGTCTCTCTCTAATGAATAAATAAAATCTTAAAAAAAAAAAAAAACTTTCATGAGAAAAATTTTTAAATCTTCTATTAAGTTAACTCCTGGGTGCAAGGGATCTATGAAGTAAAATTATGTAAGTACTAAAAAATGATTGATAAAACACTACATGTCAGCATATACAGCGTACTTTAAAAAAAGTGGTAAGGGGAAAATGCAGAGCCTTAAAAAACTTGTATCAATAAAAATGTGTTCTCACAACCAAATCTGGGACAATTTAAGCACCAAAATAAATAAGTAATGATTACAATCCATTAAATTATTTTTAAAACCTATGATTCCCTTCTGATACAAGTAAGTAGGGAAAAAGAGAAGGTTACTCCTTATAATAAAATGACAATAAATAAAGAATAATGGAGTTAGAAAAATCATCATTTGGCAACACCACAGTATTAACTAGCTCAATCAAGATGCTAAAACTGGTGTGTGTACCTGAAAGTTTGATGCCTCAGAGTAGCTCTCTCAAAGTGCTTATGAATTACAAAAGGAAAATCTGGCACATGCCATCTTAAAGAGGTGATGAGAGGTAACCTCATCAATGAGAACCACTGACTTCATGTGCCCTATAAAGGGCACAACATTCTTTCTGTGTCAACTCTGCCGAAATTACATAACCTGAATTTAATGATGAGGAAGTATCAGTCAAACCCAAACAGAAGGACATTCTTCTTAACATCCAAACCATATTCTTAAAAAATGTCAAGTTCATAAAAAGCAAAGAGCCTAAGGAACTACTCCACATTAAAGAGCTAGGACAACTAAATGCAATGTGATACCTTACAACTAAATACAATGTGGTATCTTATCTTACATCAGATGACAGGAGCCTGGAAAGGGGTACAACTGTTAATTGCAACATTAACAAAATTTGGGAAATTGGCCTCCAGATAATGGCATTATATCATGATTAAATTTCCTGATTTAGATAACTGTACCGTGGATATAAAGGAGTGTGTCCTTGTTCTCATGACATATATGCTGAAGTATTTAAGAAGAGGCACTATGCCTGCAACCTAATCTCAAAACTGTTCAGGAAAATAGTGTATATATACCCACCTACATATATACACACAGAATAAAATCAAATGGGGCAAATGTAAAATGGTGAATCTGGGTAATCTTCATACATATTTGTTATTTTCTGTAAGTCTGAAATTATATACAAGACAAACATTTTTAAAGAAAATCAGTTCCATCAAACAAAACAATGTTAAATAATGTGTTTAGGTTAAGAAATCAGAATTATAGCTACAGCAAGGGTCATAAGAACATTTCATCTAATCTCAATTCTGATGTTTACACATTTTCTAAGAGGCTTTAGCAGACAGACACATATAAGACAAAGTACTTTACTTAAAATGCCTAAAATTAGGTATAACATGGCTCCTGATAAAAACGTAACTTAATAGCTCTTTAATTTTTCTAAACGCTATCTGAAAATGAATCATGTTTTCAACTAGATAATTCAAGACTGATACTTCCAATTCGGGAAATAAAAAGTGGATTACCTTTACTCCAGAAATAATAATGAGATTTAGCCTCCACTTTCTGTAATGGTCACAATGAATTTAAAGAAAAATGAATAAATCCATATGCACCCTCTATAAGCTTTCCTTATTCACAGTGCATTCTGATTAGTTCTACACTTAATATTCTGAGGGATGCGTAAAAGTTTCATTTAACAAGTAAATTTGATAATTCACTCAGTATTTTTTTTTTAAGATTTTATTTATTTGACAGAGAGAGACAGCGAGAGAGGGAACACAAGCAGGGGGAGTGGGAGAGGGGAAAATGCTTTCCGCCTAGCAGGGAGCCTGATGCGGGGCTCAATCCCAGGACGCTGGGATCATAACATGGGCCGAAGGCAGACACTTAACGACTGAGCCACCCAGGTGCCCCTTCACTCAGTATTTTTGAGAGATTACTATAGATTTTGAGTAAACTTCAAAACATATGGTAATTCCTAGGATATGGGCCCTATCCTCAAAAAGTAGTGTGCTGGTGGAGTAGAGGGTGAAAGAGGTAAAGTTTGTGCTTTTGTAGGCACAAACTCCCAGTCATAAAATAAATTATAGGGACGTAAAGTAGCACATGGCAACTATAGTTAATACCGTATTGTGTATCTGAAAGCTACTAAGAGACTTATCTTAAAAATTGTCATCCTAAGAAGGGTGCCTGGGTGGCTCAGTCAGTTAGGCGGCATACCCTAGATTTTGGCTCAGGTCAGGATCTCAGGGCCCTGGGATCAGGCTCTAGTCCCGCTTGGCACTCAGCAGGGAGTCTGAGGATTCATTCTCTCCTCTCCACTCCTCCCTGCACTTCCGCACACACACCCACATGCTCTCTCTCAAATAAATCTTAAGAAAAAAGTTCTCATCATAAGAAAGAAAAATTCTATAACTACATATGGTGAATTCAATGAACAACTAGACTTACTGTGATCCTTTCACGATATATACATACATCAAATCATGTTGTACACCTGAAACTAATGTGGCATGTCAGTTATACTTTAAAAAAAAAAGGGCATGAAACAGGCTTCTCTTTAAAGTTAAATTAAGTATCGTTTTCAAATATCCAATACTAAAACACTTAAATATTTCTGAAAGTTGAAACCATTCTCTTAATCACTATAATTAAGAGTTAAATTTTACCTCCATCCCACTCTTTTAATGCTGACAATGTTTTGATGAGGATTGCTAAATGGAGTGAGTGTTAATCAAGGTAAGGTGGAGCAATGCAATTATTCATTTTCCTTTTAGAAAATAAAAATAATTCTGGGAATAGAAATTTTTATTCATCACCATATTTTTTCAAATTATCTGGTTAATTACTAAATTTTAAATTTATTATGACAAAATTGCACTTGTTTCTATATAACTGAGTTCAAATAATTGAAAATGTGCATGTCTATTAAAGATTCATACATATATTTCCAGAAAATACAGTTCTGTTTCAATGTTAAGTTGTATAAAAATGACCACTTTGTTTCTTTCCTCTTCTGAAATTTCTCCGTACTTCACCTAGCAAATCAAATCCCCAGGTTAGTCAGCCACGTGTTACATTTTATAGCTAAAAGGTACTGCTGGTAATCTAACCTATTCATGACCCGTATCACAAGTTGCAAGTGGTTAATTTGTGTGTAGTTTCACTAGTTTTTCCTCAAGCAGAATCTGTTCATTTTAAAAGACCAAAAACAAAAAAAAGAAAGAAAGAAAGAAAGAAAGAAAAAAAGTATTGTGCTGGTGAGGGAGGTGGCACGATGCTGAGTATAAAGGTCTGGGAGCAAAAATCTATACTCAGAATTCTAACCTAAGGTATCTTGGCGCAATGTAGACAGAGAAGCAAAATACAGGAGTGAAAGCTGATAGCCTCGCTTTCAGGGACTCTGGCGATCAGGGACGAGTAACTCAACCTGTCCACTTTCCCACGCCCTGATTTACTTAACTATGAAGACCGAGAATGATTTCTTTTAATTCTGCCTCAAAGGGCGGAGGATTAGTGAGAGAACGTGCTTGGAAAGCGCTTTGTAAACTTCAAACCGGTACACGTGTGTTACTATGTGTACTAAACTCCACCAGAGAAGCCTCCTGGACTCAGGAAAGGTAATTAATTCTGCTGTCAAGGTTCCGTACAAAATATCGCTACTGGATGTGCTCAGGTACACGACTTAATTGAGAGCCAAAAGGAGGTTTTCCTCCAAAGTATATTTTTACAGGAAAAACGAATATAATTTGCACGGATTCCCTGGTAAACGGCCGGCCGCCAACCTTCGTAGGGCTTTGGGGAGGGAGGATGTTAGAAACAAGGTAAAAATTTGCGAAACAAACAAAATAAAAGCAGTTAAAGGTAGGGAAGACGCTGAATCAAAAGGGAAGTCTAACTAGGAAGCCGGTGCGAGGGGGCGTGGCCCTCCGCCCTGCCCCCCGCTCCCGTCCCGCGCTGGGGTCCTCTCGCTGAGTCCCTGGCCGTGACCCTGCCCCAGGCTCGCGCGTGGTCGCGAGTGACGGCTTGCGAACAACCGCAACCGTCTAAGTCCTCAAACCTCTAGTCTCCGAGAAGCCGTTACGCGCCTCCTCTCTCAATTCCCACACGGTTAAGGGCCCCTAACCGCTCCCGTAACTGACTTCCAGGGGCGGAGCTGCGCCGCGAGAGGGAGGCCCTCCTAGCAATCGAGCAACAAGCGGGCGGGTACCTGAGCCGAAATGAATCCTTCGTACACTGTTTTCGCCCGGTTCTGAGGCAGAAGCAGCGGGCACTGGCGCAACAGGCTCGCTTCCATCTCCGCCATGGTTCGCCGTCTGTGGAGCCGCAGGGGGTTTATCCGCTGGCCGGGCCCCGCACATGCGCAGTCCCGCCTGCGCCCGGGCCTCCGAGGGGCGGAAACCTGGCCTTTGGCGGGAAAAAGCCTCGAAGACGCCGGGGAGTGAACTTAAGGTCTGGTGCTAGTCCCGCGCCTGGACTCAGGCCCAGCCAGAGTAGATGTGGCTCGGCAGGAGGCAGCATTGGAGAGAAGATTGTTCTCAGGTTCATAGATCTACCTGAACAAGATCATTCCAGCCTTGATTGTCCCAAGAACCCTTTTGGTAATTTTGTTTGATTTTATTGAAAGGTTGCTACAATTTTTGTGCAGTTGCGTTTCTTCCCGCATAAAATGGGACTGCTGCAAGTTTGAGATTGCATTTCTTCCAGCATAAAATGGTTTGTAGAGTCTGGGTGTTGTAGTATCTCTTTTACCCTGACCCTGCCTCAACTCCCCTTCTTCACTGTAATCAGTCTGTCTCCTCCTATTGGCCTATTCTACAGGATCTCCTGTATGCCCTCAGCATACAGAATAATGTATTATTCTGTATATATTATTATATAATATACTGTAATCGATTCAATATATGCAACATAATCCTATGGTTTACCAAGTTTAGTCAGATACTATTGTATATGAGAGATGCACAAATGTGTGTGTGTGTGTATACATATATACACACACATATATCTTCAGACTCAAGTCAACACTATACTCATTTTTCGTGCACTGCACTCACAAATATCTAAAGGCAAAACATGAGGGAAGATTGCCGATTAACTTGATGAGCCAAAGTTAATTTTTCTTTGACAACTCTTTCTATGCATTTTTTTAACTCAGGAATGGTAATTATCCATTTCCTTTTACTAAGGGTTGATTAAGTAACATTACTATTTGCCACAAAATCATTTGATATCCCAATCAGTATTCAAATGCATTACAATTTTGAGCCCTAGTATTTGCAAAACATCATTGTAATATGCCAAGACTATGTAAAGATAATAAGATGTACTCCCATCTTTATTGCACTCAAAATGGAATTTGACTTCTTGAAGATTAAAGTTGCACAACAATTGCTACAGTATTCTGGATACTTAGGGGAAAGCAAGGATACTACAGCAGTGGTTAGATAAAAATTACACTAAAGCAGTGGTTCTTAAAATATGATCCTAGAACCAGTGGCATCATTAACACCTGGGAACTTTGTAGAAATGCAAATTTTCACTCTTCTATCTCAGATCTAGGGAATCCCAAACCCTGGGAGTGAGGCCTAACCATCCGTGTTTTAACAACCTCCAGATGATGGTGATGCACACTGAAGTTTGAGAATCTCCTCAGGGATATGACCTACACACACTCAATTATGCAACTCATTCCTTAAGGATGATACTGTGTTCAACCATCACACTCATGTTAAACTATTTACATAGATGCCCAGGCTAGATCCCTGACTAGTGGTTCTCAAAGTGTGGTCCTTGGACCAACATCATCAGCATCACCTGAAACCATGTCATTCCAGACCAGCTGAATCTCTTAGTTCTAGGAGACAAGCTCAGCAATCTATGTTTTAACAAGCATATGTTTAACACCTCTGTGTTTTAACCAGGGATTCTGATGCAAACTTTGAAAACCATTACCCTAAACTTAGTGAAGTTATATTTTCACACATAATTCTGTTGTGCAGCTAGTTGAAAGTCATTGTACTTGTCAAGTGAATAATTGTCAAAGGTTTTAGAGTTCAGAGCTAAGAGTTACCTAGCCACATTGTAAAAGTTTAGAAGATATTAGTACATGAATAAACAGAGTTTATTAGCGTCAGATCATTATTTAAGAGACCTTTTAATACAGAGATCATTTTAATTATAACAAGAGAAACTTTAAAAAAAAAAAAAAGCTGAAAGATTAGTCCCAATTTGGGTCTGATATTAGAGAGCTGAAATTCTCTTGGCTGTTCCATGATGGTCTCATGACCACTACTGGAGTCCTAACCATTTGAATAGATGGAAGAGCAATGATAGCTTTCCCAGAGGTCCTTTTGAGCAAGTCTTATGTCACATTGTCCATCCCATATACAAAGGGTCTAGGAAACACAGTTTTACAGCTAAATATATTGCTTAGAATTCCGTTAGTAAGAATAAAGGAGAGAATGGTTGAGATGGGCTGCTTCCACTTCTACAACATTGCAAACTCCACCTGCCCCCCCAAGAAAAACAAAAAAGATTTTAAGTTTATTGGTATTGCATTATTAATGAAATGCATACTTTATATGACAAATTTTCGTGTATGTGTACTTCTAAAGATATGGTAGTGTATTTTCCTTTTTTCAAGATGATTTTTCCTTCGAAGAGTACTAAAATTAATTTCTATTTTGTTGACTAACTGAAGTGAACATCATCTAAAAAAGTATTAAGGGTTAGAAATCAGATGAATAAGTAACATTATAAAAAGCAATGAAGAACCATATTTACATTTTGGAAACTTAGTGTAATCTTGTAAAAATTACAAGTATATTTTCATCTGAAAATGTCCTTCAGCTATGAAAGATAAATAAGATATGGTTGTAGTTTGTGATATTCCTTTAAAGAATCCTTTGTTGATGGGGATAGGATTTGCTAAAATAGCAATCTTGTTTCTATTTAGTAAAAGAGAGCAAGTAAAGTAACAATGAATTATCCATGAAGTGGAAGTAGCTGATTTTATAAAATTTTGAGAAATAACTAAATTAACAAAAATAAATTAAAATTTACTTTAGGGTCGACTGGGTGGCTCAGTCAGTTAAGCATCCGACTCTTGATTTCAGCTTGGGTCATGATCTCAGTGTCCTGGGATGGAGCCCTCTGTGGGGCTCCGCACTCATTGGGGAGTCTGCTTAAGGATTCTCTCCCTTCCCTTCTGCACCTTCTCCCACTCCCTCCCTTTCTCTCTCAAATAAATAAATCTTTAAAAAATAAAATAAATAAAATAAAATTCACTCTAAAATTCAGAAGTTTGGAAGTAATTTTATACATATATAATCATTTCAAAATAACAAAAACATTTTAAGTAGTACCCTTCTTATTCTTTAATATCTTACCTATTTAAAGTTAATATTAGCAGGTCTATGGGGAAACAGATATAACCATACATTGCCGATTATTATGCATAATTCACAAAATGTTCCTAAAAAGCAATCTACTTATGTAAAACAGAAAACATAAAAATTATTTTCTTTTGAACAAATACCACTTATGAGAGTATATCCCGAGAAGATAATCCAAAAATGTTTAAATAGGAGACAACTTAATGTCCAATAAGTTAGAAATGGTCAAGTTATATAACAGGATAGAATGTCTAAAAGCCATTAAAATGACAGATGTGAACATGCAATATTGGTACATAAAAAGTATATATGAAATCTCAGTATGTGAAAAAAGCAAAACAATGTCAAGAGAAAGAGAAGGAACTTACATACTTTGCTGATATTTTAAAGATAAAAGATCTTTCATTTTTCCATGTAAAGCAAATTACTTAACAGTACCATGATTTTTTTAAAAGAAGGCATTAGCAAAGATTTTTATAAATGTAAATGCTGTCCAACTTAAAATCATCTATTGAGTTAGAGGAAGCACAGTATAATGAAAAGAGAGTCAAGAAACTTCAAATGCTTGACTTTGTATAAATCACGTTATGATCTATAGGGTCCTTTGCAATTCTAAAAACGTATTTGTAAGAAAATCAAAAACAATAATTACGGTTAAATACGAATTATCTGAATAACAAATCTGAAAAAAAATTAACTTTGAAAATTTCATTCACATTGTCATTCCACTTAACGAGAATGTGTTTGTGAAATCTAAGGTGGAATATTGACATTGGATACTTTTACAATTTTGTCAACAATTGTAACAAGAAGATAATTTAGTCTTATTCACTTTTGGTTGGACAATAAATGCTTTCAGGAAATGATGGAAGAAAGTTACAGAACCAATTATTGCAGAAGGAGATGAAGTTCATGTTCAGTACAGAATGAAGAGCAATAAAGAATTGAAGGAAACATCTTTACATAAGGTTTTATTATTTTGTTAGATGAATCAAAAGAATTCATCCTTTGGATGTTCATGTTCAAATTATGAACTAAACACCCTTACAAATTCACATGTACATAATCTCCCTTCTGTAGGTACTTACCATTCAGAAATTATTATGTATCATCAGTTCAAAATTCAAAACAATTTCATATACACCTATAGTCATTTCAAGATGACAAAAACATTTTAAGTTTATAAAAAATTAGCAGGACTTTTAAAATATCCTTCAAAATCTTAAGTATATAAAATTGCTTTTTATAAAATAGTTACATTCTTCAAATAGTCCATCTGAGGAGGATTCATTTTAATCTCATTTTCCTTTATAGCCTAAAATAAGTACAAAGGAAAAGATGTTGTAAAAGGAAAAAGGCACAAAGGAACAGAAAGTCACATGTCAAAATTGGCTGGTCCAAGTTCTATAACTGGAACTCCATATGAAAACCTGACCAACAAAGATAAAAGATGAAATCACACAAATTTTTAGGACTCTTCAGAGCAGCAGTATTTATCCACAAGACTCATATATTAATATAAATATAACATTTATAGTTTTGTACTATCATGTTTCATATAAATTATAATAGTATAAAAGTTATTTTCTATATTTAAAATTTATCCAACTTTCTGAAAAAGAGTATCTTACCTAACTTGAGTGCACGGTTTGATAGAAGTCACAACCTAAATTATGTCCTCTTCCTCAATTGTCCAGAGACTCTAAAAGACAAATGTAAATTCAGAAGAAAATTGAATAGACTTGTTGGATAAACACTTTCATTCAACAAAGGTAAAGCCTCAGAGGAAATCTGTTCCCAGGAATAGTCTTGGCCTATGCTTTATTTAGTTGATTTTCAACAAACCTAATTTGACTCAAATGCAACTTTATGTACTGTAAAGGACTTCCCAATGAGCAGAATGAAAACT